TACCGGCTGGGGCCGGCTCCGAATCTCGATCTTGAGTTCGATGTCAAGGAGCTGCTTCCGGAACAGTTATCAAGTGAGTTATCGGGATCCTCTTCCAATTTTTGAAGTCGGCTAAAGTTCTATGCCACCACATATCATAACCCGTGTCAAATTCAAATCCCTTCGGAAGGGAAGTAAAGCCGTTGGTCTCGGCCCATGTGTGTTAAATGGGTGCGATATCCTAGATTGCGAAACAAAGACCGACGTTAAATAATGGAAAGAAGAAAAAAGAAGAACAATATATACTGATGTTTGACAGGTACTGACCGCCGGAACACTGGCAACACTAGTATCAACGTTCTGCTCGATTGACGGCCTCTTCAGATTCCATCAGTGTCAGAGGCATCGTTGCCAGATATACCGATTTATCGGTATTTGTACTGATCTTCGAACTTGATACCGTTTAACAGGTAAGGTTCCTCAGAATACCGATTTTTGAGAGTTTATACCGATTTATACCGATTTTTAAATAATCGAAATGATAATCATGCATGCTTTCAATGAATACCTAGGATTCCTAGGCTACGAATCGATGAACAGCTAATCGCTCATCCCGGTAATTCCTGGGAATAGGGAAATACTTTTATTTTGTATGTGACTAAAAATGTCCTTCCGTTTGTACATATTTCAACTTTCTTCAAATGTATTTAATAGGATTAAATCAATCGCATGTAACACACATCATGTAATGGTATATAATGCTCTACAAACTATTCTGGAGACACGATCAAGGCTCAATACAGTCTTGAACAATGTTCTGGACACCTTTATGAGTCCGTGAAGCTCAATTATGAGCCTCTTGACAACATGCACATCAGGAAATGGTATCCACAAGATATTATAGGCTTATTAAACTATTCTGTTTTTAAGTTCTTGAAGACCTCCTACCTCAACGCAGTCTGTAGCGATGTCCTGTAAAACGTTATTAGTCATTGAATCACAAGGGAGCCTCATGATAACATGTATATCATGGAATAGTATCAATTCTCTCAGCACAGACAGTCCGGTACTTAGTAGATGACGCCATTTGCCACCAAACAAAACCAAAGGGGCGGAAAATCGCTCTAATGATCCCTTATCTTTGCTTCTTGGAAATTTTCTAAACATGTACAAAACTCTATTAAAGGGTGATACGGTCAAAATTTGGTCAATATCAACTTGACGTATTTCTTTCAATTTTGCATTTAAAAAACCTGAACACCCCTCATTTTGAAGGTGTGTGTGTGTAGAATGTTGCTCCTATTTTGATTTTGGAATTCACTCTTCAGTTGTCAAAATGCCGTCCAAGCAAGAAGAGCAGCGTATCAAAATTTTGCTCGCGCATCGCGAAAATCCGAGCTACTCGCACGCAAAGTTGGCAAAATCGCTAAAAGTTGCCAAATCAACCGTTACAAATGTAATTAAAGTGTTTGGGGAACGTTTGTCGACAGCCAGGAAGTCTGGATCGGGGGGAAATCGAAAACCGGAAGCCGCTGAGACGACAAAGAGAGTTGCCGGTAGTTTCAAGCGAAACCCTAACCTCTCTCTCCGAGATGCCGCAAATAAGCTGGGTGTATCGTCTACAACCATGCATCGAGCCAAAAAACGAGCCGGACTATCGACTTACAAGAAGGTAGTGACTCCAAATCGCGATGATAAACAAAATACGACGGCCAAAGCGCGATCCCGGAGGCTGTACACGACGATGCTGACGAAGTTTGACTGCGTGGTAATGGACGACGAAACCTACGTCAAAGCCGACTACAAGCAGCTTCCGGGACAGGAGTTTTATACGGCAAAAGGAAGGGGAAAGGTAGCAGATGTTTTCAAGCACATGAAACTGTCAAAGTTCGCAAAGAAATATCTGGTTTGGCAAGCCATCTGTACCTGTGGCTTGAAAAGCAGCATTTTCATAGCTTCCGGGACTGTCAACCAAGAAATTTACGTGAAAGAGTGTTTGAATAAACGTCTGCTGCCTTTCCTGAAGAAACACGGTTGTTCCGTACTGTTTTGGCCGGATTTGGCATCTTGCCATTACGGTAAAAAGGCCATGGAGTGGTACGCCGCCAACAATGTGCAGGTGGTTCCCAAGGACAAGAACCCTCCCAACACGCCAGAGCTCCGCCCAATTGAGAAATACTGGGCTATTGTCAAGCGGAACCTAAAGAAGACCAAAAAAACTGCTAAGGGCGAGCAGCAGTTCAAGGCAAACTGGCTTTCTGCGGCGAAGAAGGTGGACAAGGTGGCTGTACAAAATCTGATGGCAGGGGTCAAGCGTAAGGCCCGGCAATTCGGATTTGGAAAAGTGGAAGCCTAACTGAATATTTTTCCTGAATTTTATACTAATTGAACTTGAAAAAGAAATTTAATTTGATTTTTTAAATAAACGATTTCACCGATTTACACGCGTTTTCCCTTGACCAAATTTTGACCGTATCACCCTTTAACTTCTTCCAAGTCTCATTTTTCGCGAGTTCTTTCAATTGGATCAAGATGTCCATGGCCTACCCAAAACTTCAGGAAAGATCTTGAACTTTATCTACAAATTAACTTACACATCTGGGCGAAATAAAGTTCCCAAAACATCCAGTAAGTTGCCAAATAAATCCCTTAAGTTCAAAAAGGTACTTCTACAATATTCTGAGCATCTATGAAATTATCTGAACATCTTCGTACTTCACTGAACTTCTTTAACGTTGACTTAACTTACATGAATTTCCTTGCACTAGTTAAAAAAAATCTCAGCTTTTTTATGAAGTTTTACGAAGTTCCTCGAATTGCTACGTAAGTGGCTTAACTTCTACAAAGTTCTCAGAATTAATATGAAGTTAGTTACCCTTTCTACAAAGTTCCTTGAAGTTTTACAAAGTTTGCTTAATTTCTATGTGATTTCCTTATCTATCCCAAGTTCATTAACGAATTACCCTGAAGCAAAAAAAAGGTGTGAAGTTTCTTAAAATTGAACATATTTTCCTAGACTGCACCGATGTTTCTCAAACTTATGCAAGGTTCAACATTTTAGGGAGTTTTCCCGATTTTTTACAAAGCACCCTGAACTTCTTCGAAATTATACGCGGGGTAAATAAATAAATAAATGAATGAATGAATGACTGAATGAATGCATGAATGAATAATGAATGAATGAATGAATAAATAAATGAATGAATGAATGAATGAATAAATAAATAAATAAATAAATAAATAAATAAATAAATAAATAAATAAATAAATAAATAAATAAATAAAAAAAATAAAAAATAAATAAATCAATAAATCAAGGAATGAATGAGTGAATGAATGAATGAATGAATGAATGAATGAATGAATGAATGAATGAATGAATGAATGAATGAATGAATGAATGAATGAATGAATGAATGAATGAATGAATGAATGAATGAATGAATGAATGAATGAATGAATGAATGAATGAATGAATGAATGAATGAATGAATGAATGAATGAATGAATGAATGAATGAATGAATGAATGAATGAATGAATGAATGAATGAATGAATGAATGAATGAATGAATGAATGAATGAATGAATGAATGAATGAATGAATGAATGAATGAATGAATGAATGAATGAATGAATGAATGAATGAATGAATGAATGAATGAATGAATGAATGAATGAATGAATGAATGAATGAATGAATGAATGAATGAATGAATGAATGAATGAATGAATGAATGAATGAATGAATGAATGAATGAATGAATGAATGAATGAATGAATGAATGAATGAATGAATGAATGAATGAATGAATGAATGAATGAATGAATGAATGAATGAATGAATGAATGAATGAATGAATGAATGAATGAATGAATGAATGAATGAATGAATGAATGAATGAATGAATGAATGAATGAATGAATGAATGAATGAATGAATGAATGAATGAATGAATGAATGAATGAATGAATGAATGAATGAATGAATTAATGAATGAATGAATGAATGAATGAATGAATGAATGAATGAATGAATGAATGAATTAATGAATTAATGAATTAATGAATTAATGAATGAATGAATGAATGAATGAATGAATGAATGAATGAATGATCTAAATAAAATAAATAAATAAATAAATAAATAAATAAATAAATAAATCCCATCCTTCTACTAGAATCTGTTTGTTTTGCCAAAAAATAAACAAATAAATAAAACAATATAAAATAAAAAAAAAATATATGAATTAAACTTTATTTCTTGGCACGCAAAATATACAAAATCACTAAACAAATAATCAGGACACCATTCCAGGGAAATTTACTCTCTGCAGAACTATCAATAAATTAGAAAAAAAAAGGCTGATGGAAACTTTTTAGAGTCGTTGTAAGAAATTTTTGAAGCAAGTCGGAAGAAACTTCAAGACAATGTTTAATGAAACTCCCAGAGGAAGTCGGCAAACACTTCCGGGTAAGTCAGCAGGATTAAGACATGTAAGAAGGGCACCTAAGTTTTCGTTTTTGGGGGATTCTTCAGCGATACTGATTTTTGTATAATAATATTATAGTACCAAAGACACTGTGGGGAATGTCAATAAAAATCTCAATATCAACATCGCGTCTAACAAAGCTAACTTTCCTCTGTTGTGGCTAATTAAGCTGACAATTTGAGATAGAACTACACCAATTTTTAATTATGTGTGTACAAAACATTTAATTTACTCTTACCCCTACAGGGAAGTAAAATACCTAGATTGTTCTCAGAATTGCAAATAATTACGGACAGCTTTACCTCCCGAGGGCAAATTTCCGGTTTAAAGTTGTAGCTTCCCATCGATGAGCAACAAACATTTACCCACCTTCTATTTCTCAAACAAACACCCACTTCTCTACCACCATCGGATGGAAGGAATTCCATTCTTTATAACAAATTTATTTCCCGGAATCTTGCACGCACACACTTACTCATCCCCACGTTAGTAGAAGATTTCCCATCCTTTGCTTTCTATTTCTTTGCAGATACATCTTCTCCCTTGCCCTAGCCGATCTGCTGGTAATCTTCGTCTGCGTCCCACTGGCTTCCATCATCTATACCGTGGAAACGTGGCCGTGGGGCGTAACGCTGTGCCGCGTGACCGAGTGCTTTCGCGAAATCAGCATCGGCGTATCGGTGTTCACCTTGACGGCACTGGCCGCAGATCGATACTGCGCCATCGTTAACCCGCTCCGGAAGCTTCAGGTATGCTCTAGACGCGATTATGCTTTTGATGTGCTGCAACTAGCAATGGATTTTTCCCAACTCTTTCTCGTTAAAGACCCGTCCAATCACGGTTATAGTGGCGGTGCTCATATGGCTGCTTGCGATTGCCTTTGCCATCCCATCGGCGGTCATCTCCGATGTTGTGGTAATCAAACTCGCCAACAAAACCATCGAATATTGCTCACCATGGGGCCAGCGGACCAACGAATCCTTGGTATATTCCCAGTAAGTCTTAATCCAAACATCCACCCCGTAGTAGCTATTGATTGGTGGTCATTAACACGGATTTCCTTTCGTCTCCCCTTTTTGCAGATACAAAACCGTAATCAATTCGGCCATTTACTACTTCCTTCCGCTGGCCGTCATCGGTATCCTGTACATCTTGATGGCGTATCGGTTGCATGCCAGCGCTCGGGATATGCCGGGGGAGAATGCCGGTCCGCAGAGTCGCTCGCAGGCCCGGGCCCGGCGGCACGTGGCACGGATGGTGATTACCTTCGTGGTCGTGTTCATCATCTGCTTCCTGCCGCACCACGTGTTCCAGCTTTGGTTCCACTTGAATCCGAACACCGAGCACGAGTATGACGACTTTTGGCACATTCTGCGGATAACCGGTTTCTGTTTGAGGTAATTGGCAATAATGATCACCTTTTCGGGTGGTGGTTGTGGGTGGAGTCAATTATGGCAAACCGCAACCACGTGGAAGATGAGCAGGATAATAGGAGTTGAGTAAATTTGCCATCGGTCTTTCAAATGAATCGACGACACGGGGTGGGACTGGTGTTATGAATGAAACTCAGTTGCTGGAAATGTTTCGAGAGTTCTATATTTTGTTCAATTGGAAGATAGCGGTTTACAGTTGGTTTCACTGAACATGGCCAATTGGTGATTGTGGGAATAATCGTAGGGTGGAATGTAGATTATTAAACAAATTAAACGGAGTAAACTGAAATGCTAAATATGCTTCTGTGAAGAAGTGATGAACTACTTTAGTATATACTTTGTTGTTTGGATATGCTGTAGTGATTACAGATGAGCACTTGTAGCCTTCGCTCCATTGAATTAGACATAAATAATCCATACGCCAAAATCTATGCCAGTAGCGAAACGACACTAGCTGATTTACGTTAAAATTGGAATGCCTCGAGAGTAACGCCACTCGACCTTGCGTAGTTTCTCCCAAGGCCGAGTCCAGGGAAACCTTCGGGAAAGTTGGGGAAAGAGAGAGTGTGGCTACACCCGACTTTGAACGAAGGGCCAACGATCAGAATAATCTCTCGCATTACCGATCTCATTCGAAGAATGTCGCGGGAAAATCGAACTTCCGTTAAGTTCGGCCGAGGTCACCTTCCCTAATCTGAGGGTCACGGTTACGCTTCACTTTCGTCCGAACCGCAGTTTACAGTGGAAGTGTGTCGTTTTGTTCGCGTTAATGTAACGTGGTTTTACTTGTACTTAAATTCTAATTTATCGTTGATTGTTTAGTTATAGCAAATCAAGCTAAATGTAATGTGCGGCATAGGTTAGATTTTGTGTGCATAGAAACACAATCTACGCCAGGTAGTGTGCTCGTCCAACAACATCTGTGCTTTGTGCTTAATATTAATTTCAACAGCCGACGACTACATCCAACTTCCGACGACATCACCTGCTTTCCCGGGGCGAAAGATCCCGGCAACCGTTACCTTGTTCGGTGGAAAGCGATTCAATTTCTCATCGCGTATCGGGGCTTGGTGGATACCAACTGCCATTGTTGGAGAGATCACCGTCCACCCACGTGGAAATCGTTGGCCGTCCAACGGTCGAACATCACCGTCGCTGCCGATAACAGCAACGCAGCAAATAATAGCAGCAAAAACCAACTGGTGAGTCCGTTCGAATTTCTTTGTTGAGTGTGGCGTCCGGCGAGGGCGCAACGGAGGACCTTTTTTTGCCGACCATAAGGTCGAAGAGCATATTTTGCTAATATGTGGACAAGTCCAATGATTTAATGGTTGGCTGTAGGCATATAAATCGTGCGCACGTATCGTCAAATATGGACGCTCACCCAACCCATTAATAATAGACACCCGGGTGCCAAGCTTCGTCGTTTCCCGCTTGCTGCATCGTCGTGGGATTAACCGAGAAGACAGAGAAGAGCACAGCACATATAGGAGGTAGTTGTACCGAACGCACACAAGTCTAGGGCTAGAAGTATAGAGAAGTAGAATACAAACAATCACACAAATCCGCAAAAGCATGCTTTAGTTTAATACAATAAAAATCAACTTACGTTTTCCGTTCGTAAATAAATGTTTTGATTTGAAATCGATGTAATGTTGTTGATCAGTCCTATCAAATATTAGAATGAGAGGAAGAAAGTTTTGTTCGTTGTTTCGGGTCCGGGTAATTATGTTGTTGTCTTCCGCGTGGTCGGAATTTGACTGTTATGTTGCGTACCTCTTTTGCTGCGGCTGCGCCTCTAGCGGAATTTAAGTGAAGCTACCGATGAGGAGAACTTGACGTGGAACGTTGTTTAGGGTTTATGTATTCTCTTACCGGGAGCTTTTCAGAACTATTTCGATGTTGTGAGAGATTATGCTGTTTCGCAATAGGGGTTTCTACTCGATCAAATTCGGTAGTAGTCAAGCTGGCTCGATCTCTTCTTTCTATGAAGATTTTCAATTGGACTCGCCCTGAGGCAGTCTCATCCGGGCAAACTCAACGTGGCCTGCGGTCTCCTTTACCGGAGTGGCGCTTAAGCCGCAAGCTTCACATAGATCGGCCAGTGTCGGCTACACACTATTGTATGAAAATACCGGAACGAAGCAAATAATCTGCTCGACGTTGGCTGTGTTGATCGCCATTCTGAAAGAAGCCCACTTGTATGACCAAATCTAGCCCCCTCGTCAGTGGCTACACTGATCATGTGTTCCTCACGTTTTTATTTTTTCTGCCGTCGGGGTTTCTCCGCCGGACCGGGCACTGTCTCCTACGGTGGAGTTCTACCTTGATTGCGCACCCAGTCCTCACCACAGCCCCGATCTAATCCTCACCTTACATTAAGTTTTTTAAATGTTGTCTGTCTCATTCGTTGGGTAATCAGAGCCGGTTGTACGTCACGTTCATATCAAATTGAAACCTATTTTTTAGGCATGATCTAGCCTGACCATCTGCTGTATAACATGATGAACTAGCCTCCGGCTAAAAATCACGGTAATGAAGGAAAAAAAAAATGAAGTTGCAGAAGATATGGCTGTTTGGTAGTCCTGCCTGAATCCAGTTCTCTGCCAATTCTTCAACTCTGAAGAAATCCAGAAACCAATTTTTCTTGAAGACAAGCTTTGAACACCTCAGCAAAGCTATCAAGTACCTATAAAGAGCCGCTTAGAGCACCTGCACCAATGCGTTGATAAAGATATTTTAGCAACCTCCACCATAACGCAGCAACTGCCTCTCGGTGAACAGCGGGTTGACAAATATAACAGCGCGATAGCAGGCGACCCAAGCGTTGCTATCTGTGAAATGTCAGTTGTTTTTTTTTCATTTGAAAATAGAGTCTGGAACAAAAATGTAAACCCAAGGGACAGTAGAGCGGTCCTCTTGAAGACCCGGAACATCCGTAAATGTGGGAAATAAGAAAAAAAGAATCTAGATTTTTTGAATCTACTAGTTGGGATGCTGCATGAATGAATATGGATTTGCAACCAGTATGTTCACTCTGGTGGCCACGGGATGGTCCTCTGGAAGATCCGGAACATCCGTACAGGTGGTCAATTCGTAGAAAAGATCCTTGAGCAATTTCATCACTTATTTTGATACTACATTAATGAATTTAGTTCTGGGATCAGCATGCGCACTCTGCTGCCCACGGACCGGTCTTTCGGGAAATCCATGGTCCATGCGTAAAAGTGATCAATTCGTAAAAAAGATCCAAGAGCTCCAAGGTTTTTTTTTAAATCACTTATTTTTAAGCTACATGTATGAATTAGGATCTAGGTCTAGCATAGGCAACCAGGTAGCGGAGTGGTTCTCTGGAAAATCTTGAACATCCACAAAAGTAGTCAATTCCCATAAAAGATTCTAGAGCTCCACGATTTTTATTTAAATCTATAGAAAAACAGATCCAGTTGACAAAGATCACTCACTTTAAACTACGTATGGATGTTAAAGGCTTTTAATATATGATTTTAAAATAAAAATACGAACAGTAGGAATATTACCGGATGAAACCCCTCATTGGAACCGCCCAAAAGATCTCTGTGCTTCCCTTAAGTTTCTAAGTATTTTTTTTTAAACTACCCGCAATTTTACTGAAGTTAATTTAATTACCTTCACTTCGGAAATTATCTAGCCAAAGGCTAAAAATCTCCCTAATAAGGAATTAAAAAAATGAAATAACTTCAAGTTCCTTGATCTTCATTAAGCTCACGGCACTTCGTCAAAAATCTCTCATTCTCCCTGAACTTCTTTGGACTTCCTTGTGGTTTTGAATCTTTCCTGAAGTTCACTAGTTCTTCTATCGTTTCGGAATTTTCAGTCATATTCATAAAATTTCCTGAAGATCTTGCATTGTTCCTGAAGTATCGCAAAATTCGAGAAATTCTTGTGATATTCCATAATTTCTATGAACTCCTTGAAAGATCCTGCATTTTTCCATAAGTTAATGAAACTGATATGAAGATCTCTGATCACATGAGAAGTTCTTAGAGCTCCCAAAATTATAATGAATCTACCAAAAAATCTATGTAACTTCTTTGAAAGTCTCTAGACGTCCTAGAAGATTTCTGATCATTTTAAAAGATGTCGCGATTTCATGAACTTAATCTAATCGTCCCTGAAGCTCCTGCTTTTTTTGCAGTTATTTAAACTGTAATGAAAACCATGGAACTCCTTTACATTTTCCTGACGCTCTTATGTTTCTGACATTTAAATAAAGGTCTTGGTACTTTGATGAAGTTTCGGAAATTCCCTGAGTTTCTCGGAACTTCTTTAACATTGTTTCAATTTTCTTGACAGTAGTTGAACTATCCTTAGTTTCTCTGCTCTTGAAGTTCTGAAGTTCTTGGTACTACCCTAAACTAAATAGAACTGTCCTAAAAATCCTTAAAGTTCATTGAAGTTCCCGAAATATTTCTGAAATTTCCTCAAGTTCTCTGAACTTCCTCAAAATTTTCTGAAACTCTCCACAGAAAAACTCTGAAGTTCTCCTCAGAACTACTCTGAAATTTTCCTCAGAATTAATCTGAAGTTCTCCTCAGAACTACTTTGAAGTTCTCCTCAGAGCTACTTTGAAGTTCTACCGTATGAGTGATAATGTTTGCACCATCTTACAAATAAGGATCCCGTTTCACCTGTGCATACAATGCCTTGATTTTCTTTGCATGCACGTAACTTATAGCTCATACCGTAGTAGGCTGTGTATAAAAGAAAATGATTTACTTAGTTTGACAGTTGTATCATGACGAAGTGGCAGGGTATTCGTGATTTGTCCCACGCGTAAATGTCGCAAAAAGACATATAAATCGCCGTGGGAGTGTCCCGGTGGACCGTCAAAAGGGTTTTAGACCGAGAAAAGAAAGGACAACTATCCGCGAAGGTGGCCACAGGTCGTCCGAGGTCAGCTCGGGTTCCGAGGGCTATCGCTGCTATCAAAAGGAAGATTCGGGTGAATCCAGTGCATTCAATAAGGAAAATGGCAAAGGAATACGGGATAAGTGACTTTACGGCACGGAAGATCGTAAAGGAAGATTGCGGGGCGAAGTCAAGGGCACGGAATAAAACTCACATGATTACCAACCGCATCCGGGAGCTACGAGTCGAACGATGCAAGAAAATCTTGAACTTCCTTTAGCGAAAAAATCCGGTAATCCTGTTCACCGACGAGAGCATGTTTACCGTCGATCCCGTATCAAATTCCAGAACCGACCGGTATATTAGTTCTCTTCCGGTAAAAGACGTGGCCGACGAGCACAAGAACGTGTGTCTGACCTAGCATCCTGCTAGCGTTATGGTGTTTGGATTGGAGTCCTTCCAACGTCCGGTCGATGTCATCTACGGTGTTGAGCAGTGGATTTTCATCAATGTTGCTGTCCACCATTCGTCCGTACTGCACCCAGTTGACATGGTGGTAATCTTTACGCAGGCAGCTTCTAGCAGGAACCACGTTGACACCGACTTCAGTCACCACCGGTTGGTGGTCGGAGCTGAGATCGCCTCCAGCTTGGATAGTCCGATGTTTGACAGGAAAAAGTCCAGCGTGGAGGGATTTCCCGCTGGAGAGATGAAAGTTGGTTCGTCTGGAAATTGCACAGTGTACAGTCCATGTTGTGCGTGGTCGAACAATAGACATCCGTTCCGGTTCCTCTGGTAGTTCCTCCAAGGTTCATGGCGGGCGTTCAGGTCGCCCCCAACGATGAATCGGGAGTAAGTACGGGTGATGGCTGTCAGGTCCTTCTTGAATTGGATTCCTAATCCGTTGCTTGCGGTACACTGGCGTGGGCAGTAAACAGCGATGAACCGGATGTTTCCAGTTGGTGATTCCACCTCCACACTAATGGCCTCGATGATAGAAGTGCGGATGTGGGGCAGAGTGCAAAACTTGATTTCCTTTCTGACGATGACCGCTACACCACCACCCCTGGAGCTGGTGCGATCAAGCCGGATAATGTTGTGGTCTGGCAACCAGATGCTGTCACCGGACTTTAGGTGGGTTTCGGTTAGAAGAACCACATCGATGCTATGCTTGCGGAGGAAGTCGGCAAGCTCAATCTGTTTAGCTCTTACAGAGCAAGCGTTCCAGGTAGCGATGGTTAGCGGTTTAGACACCATATTGGATGATGAACTTACCGAGCACTTGGATCTGTTCGGGCTTATTGCGGCACTTACGTAGAGCACCGGTCATGTTGACGAAAATTTCCATCAGTACATCCGCTGAAAACAGATCGGGGTTGTTGTTTTGCGCTGGTGGTTGTCTCCAGAATCCAGGGGGGGATGGAGAGCTTTGGCCAGCAGAATCACCAGAAGTTGCTTGAGCGGAATGCACCCGCGAATTCGCTTGCCTTTGCTGAGGAGCACGAAGAGGCGGGAAATCCTCCGTCCGAAATACCGGGGCTCCCAGCGAACGATGATGCAATTAATGGAGCGGATGGCTTTCAGCGCGTTGAGCGTCACCGTTCCCTTCTGAAAGTGTACCAGGAAAAGACAATCCGGATACGCCTTCACATTTTCGTCTCTTCTTGTCATCCGATAGACGGCACTTGGGGCCAGCTTGTACCGGTCCCTGATTTCAGCTTCGATAAACTTCGGGTCGAAGTTTGGTAGGCCCCTGATGACGACCTTGAATGGTTTCTCACCGGGAATGTCGTGGGTGAAGAATTCCTCCTTGGAAGTCCTCAGGTGGGTGACGACCAAGTCATACTCCGCTTTGGTACGGAGCACAACCTTGGTGCCGACTCTGCCCAACTTGTATTCGACTTTAACGCCCAGCGTCGCTAGATCCGCGATGAGCTCATTAAGATGAGCATTTTTCACTACCAATGGAGGTAGCTTCACTTTTGCCGCACTCGGGCCAGCAGAATTTTTGTTGTCGATGGCGTCGCCGAAATCACCGATGTCGCTGGCGTTCGTTGCTGTGACGTCATCACGTCCACTCGCACCATTGGACTGGCCTTGGTTTTTCTTCCTCTTCTTGGATCGCTTCACCGTGGCGGAGGTGGTATTTCCAACATCGCTTTCTCACGGAGCCTGCTCCGGGAGCGCAGTCTTCCCATCACACGATGCGACCGACACTACTGACGACGCGAATAAACGTTTGGAATAAACTATCGAACAACTCGACAGAGCGAGCAAATACCGGACTGTACTGCTTGACGAACAAGCAGAGAATGAATGATGAGTTGATGCTAGACAGAAGCGCTTTTTTATAAAGCAGAATGATGTGCAACCAAGTGGTATAAAAGCTACAAAGACTCCTCCCATTATGAGTAGTTTGCTATCAAGTAGCGACACTGGCTCCTTTCCTTTTGCGTAGTTTGCCAATGGCAACACTATGAAAGTTAGCGGCGCCGGTGGTGTAGTGGTAAGCGTGATAACCTCTTACCCCAGCAGGCCTGGGATCAATCTTAGTCAGCGCCACGGGCATGTTCTAAGGCATAACATAATTATCTCGAATTAACATCTCTGATCACGCCTTCCTTCGGGAAGTAAAGCCGTTGGTCCCCGGTTGAGTTGATGGGTCGATAGGTAGGGTCCAGGTGTGGGAGCCACCAAGTTCATTTAAAGAGTTAGAGTAGAATTTTTAAAGAACTACAAAAATAGTTTTCACCATTAAGTCAAGGCTATTTTTTCTCATTGATGGCGCTGTTCCATTGATAGTAAGTTAGAAATTTGGAAAAGTGGATGCATATTATGGTCAAAATAAGTCAAAAGAAATCATTCATTATCGTTCAGTTTTTTCCTAGAAATTTTTGATAAATAGTATTTTCTTGCAGGCTTTCTTATTAAAAGGGAGGGAATTTTTATGTATTTTTTATGCAGAATATGCAAAATGGGAGGGACTTCAAATGTTAATCCTCCCTCCCTCACCAAATGTTACAGAGTGTAATCAAAATACATGGAATGTTGAGATATTGAGATCGTGAGAGTGAATTTTCTCTTTCAAATTTTAATGTTTTGGCTCTCTGGGGAACGGTTAAAAAATGTATGGGAAAAAACCTTTTTTAATTAATTTTAGCTTATTTAACAAAAAATTCCAGGAAAAAACTGAACGACAAAGTCCATAAACGATTTCTTTAGGTTGTCGTCAACTTTTTTTTTGGAAAGCTATGTGAAATTCACATGGATTTCATGCATTACGTATGTGATATATTTTTTGAGTGTATCCCGTGTTTCCAAGTTTGGTTACAATACTACAACTCTGGAGAGCATTTTGTGTGGTCGTTGGGAGCGTGTGGTTCTGAATATGGCGATGAGTGTGCAAAATGTTACGCAATTCCATCCTCCCTATTCGCACACGCCCGAGGATCGGAGGCGAATGCCACTTCGATTTGTTTCGTCTACTTACTACTCTCTGACGACTGTGCTGGGGAAGCAGCATATGCATGTAGGTAATTGGTGGATTTGTTAGTTAATTCGACGCTTTTGGACAATGCTGGATATTTACCAGTTTTTCAATAGTTTCTTGTTGAAAATCAACATTATTGAAATCGGACCAGGGGCAGCTGAGTTATTAACGTTCAAAATCTTTCTTAATTTGTTACATGTTCCATTTTCGGTTTTCACAAAGTGTACCCCCATATAGAAATCAACGTCAAAAACACATAAATAGTTCAAATGTCATATTAATCATAACATAAATCTCGATTACTTTTTCGAAGGGACGTATCAGTTTTAGTAAACAATGCATTTGATCGTCGATTTGGCGTAACTGATAGCCTACGCATTCTAACACCACTGTAAGGAAGGGGGAAATCTCCCCAATCTGATGGTAGTGTTAGCATGCGTGGGCGAGCAACCAGTTACGCCAAATCGACGTTCAAATGCATTGTTTACCAAAACTGATACGTCCCTTCGAAAAAGTAATCGAGAAATAGAACTGTAGAATAATAAAACAACGACTGACACTGGGTTTAATTGGGAAATAAGCAGGGTCTCATTTGAAGCCCTTGAAAAAACACAGCTAATATTTACCTGTAGAAGGAGGCATTTGATTCGCGATTCGTTTCCAGGCAGCATTTAAAGCGTTTAAGTTCGAGTGTAAAGCATGTTGCTTATGCCAAATTAGTTTTTCACTTTTCATCAATTCGGCCAGCCACTGTTTTTCTTCAGTGTGCTTTAATTTCCGCTGTTTCTTTCTTGATTTGTGTTTGGTTGCCGGTGAATCGCGACGTCTTTTGCGGTTTTCTTTACCATTTTGCCCCGAGAGGTCTCCTTCTTCATCGTCCACAAAAGGAACCGATGATTCATCAATTATGAATTGATTGAAATAAATACTATTATCACTATTGAAATCCGTCTCTTCGTCTTCAAAAACTTGGCCGAAATCCATTTTTAAAACATTTGTCGGAACAGATCCACAAATCCAGAAACACTACAACAAATTGAAACCAACTGATATATTCAAACAACCCATATCGAACATGAAACGTCAAATTTTCGCTACCTGGTGCGGTTTTCACTAGTGCGGACCGCGTGAAAAAAGTGCACGTAAGCGAAATAAATAGGATCCACAATCTTTGATTTCGCTGGATGGTGTTTGTTTACAGTTCCAAGCGAAGTGAAATTTTTGTGGATTACATTTTTCGCGCTGGTGAAAAATCGATTATTTTATATGAGATTTCGCTTCGTTTCGATCTCTATACAGGCCTATACTAGAAAAATTAAACCAACAGCCTACATTGATCGGTTGACGTATCATTGCTTCCGGCTTCACCGCAAGCTCCACGTGTCATCGATGGAGCCATTTTTCCCTTCTACAGTGACCTTAATTTAAGGCATCCGTTTAACTGCTTACCTTCTCTTGCCTCTCTCTCCCCCGACCAGCTTTCTCAACTCGTGCATCAACCCAGTGGCCCTGTACTGCGTATCCGGTGTCTTCCGGCAGCATTTTCACCGGTACCTCTGCTGCCGGCAAATGTCCGTTCAGCGACGCATCGGCATGTCCTCGGTTGGGAACGCTTGCGAAACGAGCTTTGTGTCCACGATTCGCCGTTCGCAGCACAACCACAGCATCCGGAAGTCGCTGTCCGTCCACTCGGTGCAGAGTACGAAAAGGTGAGACAGCGTTCGGCTCATGGTCTACTTCCAGGGCAGTGGCCCGCCTGGAGGTGGATTGAACGGAGCTGCTACTGGAAGAGGAGGACCCAAGCGGAAGTAACCAAAGGCGCTGGCGACGGCGACGACGATGACGGTGGTGGTCAATACGGCAGGTAGGGAAACTGGAGCGGATGTAATGTGATTCTGTACAGACAAAGGAAAGTGAAGCTCAAAATTAATGTGTATTAGGTGAGTGTAAGCCGAATCATCTCAAATGAAAATCCCTTTCAATTGTCATGGACAAGAACCAAGTAGGAAATGTAGTGTGTAAATTGCTGTACAATGAATCGAATTTACCTAACAAAGTGGCATAAAATGAAAAGCTTGTACCCTTCGATGATTTATCCCTTCGCATCCATCGATGAAACTCAAACGTGGTGAGATGGAAAACTGAAATTCAATTCACCACTTAATTGAAAAGTCACTTTCAGCGCTTGGACTCCCATTGTTCTGTCTGTATGTTTAAAAAAAAAAGTAAACTTTCGGCAGGTGGGGGAATTGAGTCACATCAATTCAGCCCAATACCGCCGGAGTGAAACGTATTATGTACAAATGGAAAGAATAAAAAGTATTTAAAAGCTATTTATATACCTATCGACTCGCAGAAAAAGACAGCATCACAATTTGGACGGCGATTTATTATACTAGAATCTTAATAGAAAATTAAACCTTCGTAGAGTATTATTGTTAAGCAAGGAGGCGATCGAATCTTCATGTCGACGAAACCGAAAAGATATTTATGGAAACTTTGTAAGTGATCAAAATACAAATATTTTTATTGAATGGAAATAAACAAATTGAAACTAGATTGTCCTGTACACGAAGTGTTGAGGTGGATTTTTAGTTTCAAGGATTTGAAAGAAAATTTCCAAAATGCAATACAGTAATGACCCGATTAAATATCTATCTTGAAATGAATGGGAAAGATTTGGAATTTATGTGAAATTGTTGAAAGGTAAAGGTCTAATGTCCTGACAAAATTGGGTCATTACTGTAATTGAAGTCTCAAACCCAAATTTGATTGAATGGCTGTACCGAGAATCGAACCCCTCACCATTTTTAATAACCATTCGACTATCGGGCACACTGCCGCCCATACATAACAGAAAATGCCCACGCCAGCTGTTCAAGAAACAGCGTAGAAAGAGGAAACGAACAAAAACAACTGCTGCAGCATGTTCCTTCCTTCAGTATCCTTATTAACCCGAATAGACTGGAGAGAGAAAGGTAGGTAAACAGGCAGAATTAAAAAAAACCCGATGAGCCAAATGTGCAAGCTGAAAGAGGCAGATCTTGGACGACGATGATTATGATGGCAATGCCTACCGAAAGCATCAACATCAAGAAGCAATCGAAAATATTGAACACCCGGCGTTTGGAGAGGTTCAAGCTTCGTCGTGAATCGTTTTAGTTTGCAATACGTCAAAAAAAAATGATGCCAACCAAACAATGCGCTACTAGCAATTGATAGTGGAATCAACTCAGGGATTAAAACTCACTGATATTCCTGCCTACGACTGATTGAAGCTATAATAATATGCAAACAACAATCATATGCGAGCAGCTGCTGGTTTTCCATACATTTTCCATTTGCAAAATTGCCTACCCCCATCCACTCGTTCCCGTCGCTCGCTGGATTTGTTCACCGCATCGCATCAATTAAAACACATCGGAGACCGGGCGCGTGTGGCTGGCAGCAGGCTTCGATTTCTCTTTCTCATCGTCCTTTGTGTTGTTATGCTTCCTCGGGTTCGGGCAGTGGCTGCTACTACTAGCATACAACATAGTAGGAGGTGTTGGCAAGGGATAGAATCATACCGGTTGCCATGCGTGCTGCACTCATTTGTATGAATAACCTCTATCTATAGGGGAGGAAGAGGCAAGGCAAAACCGAGAGCATATGTTTATTTCCGATCCGGTTGGCGCGCGCGAGTGCAGGATGGCTAGGCTACCCTGCACGTCTGAACTCATTTCGGTGAGCATGTTGAGCGATCGGAAGTTTGAACCTCTAGGGATTCGGTTGGGTAAGGTGCGACGCGAAGGAGTGGCACCGAGAGGTTCAAATGAAGGTGGTTGCCAGTTTGCAGGAAGATTGTTGGCGGATTTCGCCAATGCAGTGCTACGTTCTCACTACGCTTTATAACAAGTGATATAGCGAGATGATATCTATATCAAGTGGACGTGTTCACATGATGTTTGTGCCAGATCATAAACAAAAACAAACATGCATCAGATTAATTTGAACCAAATGTTTAATTAAATAAATTTAAACTTTTACGTATTAGGCCGGAACAAATATCAAGTTTTTCTTTTGTCATCCCCCCCCCCCCCTTCAAAATTTTAGAATATCACCAAGGGGAAAATAAAATAAAACTTTCAGTGTATATTTATTTTTCGCACATTCATTTGGGTCTGGATACTCGCTTTGCTAGATTTTATTATGTTGTTGTTGTTGTTGTTGAAAACGGATTTTATCGAACTCATTCCTAATCTTGTTTGGCAACTCACTAGGTAAGCCGCCTTCAATCTGATTGATACCCCTTGTTCCCTGCGCACATTTTCGTCTTGTTCCAGTTGGGTCGCTATCAAGAACCATTTTCATTGGATCGTTATCCGACATTGTTACGATGTGCTCAGCCCACCGTAGTCACCCGATTTTCGCATTCGATCTAAATTTTGTAACTTACAAATGTGCTGCAATGCTACTTAATGATTCACTTCTTTTCTACAGTGATTCAACAATTTCCGAGCTAAATTAAATCTTTTTAAAATTGGTTTAAAATTTTTAGAAGTGAGATCAAATCAGAAACAATTAAAGAAATTCTTAATTGAGGTGACATTTTTGAACGTAGATTCAAAACTGAGTCGAATAAGTCATCAGCACTTTTCTAACTGAGTTTAAACTTTTCTGTTATGCGATTCAATCCTTTTTAAAGATGTCAAAGCTTTCTTGAAGTGATCCAACATATCCCGCACCTAGGCTTTAAAGAATTGGTTTCACATATTTTGGAGTGAGGCCACATTAGCTGATTTAATCTCTTTCCTAAATGAATCCAAGGTTTCCTGCATTGATTAAACTTTTTCCGAACTGAAACCAAGCTAGTCAGAACGGGCTTGATATTTTCCTAAGTGAGCTCCAGATTTTTGTTAACTGCTTTGGCATTTGGCAAGGACACAATCTTGCTTAGTGAAAGTGTAGAAAGTGAACCGACAATTTTTTGAGCTTATATTTTCCAAATGGTGTCCAATATTTTCTGAAGTGGTTCAAAACCTTCCTTAGGGAGTCCAAACTTTTCTGTTGAGTGATTGAATTATATTGAATGTTAGTCTGAGCTTTCCTGAAGTGATTTACCTAACTTTTAACGTAGATTCCACTCGCTTAGATCCCTTCCTCGTTCTTGTGAGATTCACATCCTTTGAAAATTAGGCTGAGATTTTAAAGAATGGACCTTCGTGTACACTGCCTCAGGCTTGAGCCCAAGCCGCTCCAGTTCGGATTTCACCGCAACCGCCTCGACGGTAATCCACACAAAACCACGTTCAGTGGCTTGCTCGATGGCAGATCATGCGTGAAGAAGTCCGTGTTGTTATCCTTCAAGAAACATCCTATTTGTTTGAACTCCTCCAGGCTGGAGCACATCCCGAGTAGCACACTTTCATCACAATAAGTTATAGCAACTTGTTTATGACTGAAATAAGTCGTATATAAGTTTCTACCATTGATTTGTGACAAGCGGGCTACAAGGGATGATTTTGGTACCGATACTGCAAAAGCTTGAAGCGAGGCAGCAGCTTGTGTTTTGCCAGCTTGGCAACATCCTTCACCGGCGTGAAAAGCGGGGGAATCTGCTCTCTTCTTGCAATGGGAACGGCGTCACCATCGCCATTTTCTTCCGGGAGTACTGCATACTGGTTGGCTTGCAGTACTCGTTTTCCGGCGTCATCCTGCGACGCGCTGGGCTTCTTTGAGGGGCCCGCTGCTGGCTCATTGGCACGTTTACGCACCATTTTTTTCGTGTTTTCAAGTTCAAGTAAACTTGCCAGAACGCGAGAAGGTGACTACACTTCCACGGCGCAACGCGACAGCACAAAACGAAACAAAATCTGAGTTGAGGCTAGACAGCAGCGTTTTTTTTTATAGCTTTTCAGGTTAAAGCAGAATGATGTGCAACCAAGTGGTACTCGATTATAACGACTGGGTTAGGGAAGAACGTTTATTTCATGAAAACAGTGATAAAATTATCATCTTTTTATTTGTACACTAGCTGAGAGTGCCCGGCCTTGCTCGGGATTCAATATTAGCTTGAGTTTATGCGCCAATTAAAAACAGCATGCTATATTGTACGTAGCCCTCTCCCCTTTATCTAAGGGGCTACCCCCTATGACCTCCACATGCCAGATTTGGTTCCATTTGCTTGATTAGTTCTCGAGTTATGCAGAAATTTCTGTTTCATTTGTATGGGAGCCCCTCTTTACAGAGGAGGGAGGGGTCTCGAACTATCATAAGAACCTTTCCCTGCCCCAAAAACCCCTGCATACAACAGACAGACAGACAGACAGACAGACAGACAGACAGACAGACAGACAGACAGACAGACAGACAGACAGACAGACAGACAGACAGACAGACAGACAGACAGACAGACAGACAGACAGACAGACAGACAGACAGACAGACAGACAGACAGACAGACAGACAGACAGACAGACAGACAGACAGACAGACAGACAGACAGACAGACAGACAGACAGACAGACAGACAGACAGACAGACAGACAGACAGACAGACAGACAGACAGACAGACAGACAGACAGACAGACAGACAGACAGACAGACAGACAGACAGACAGACAGACAGACAGACAGACAGACAGACAGACAGACAGACAGACAGACAGACAGACAGACAGACAGACAGACAGACAGACAGACAGACAGACAGACAGACAGACAGACAGACAGACAGACAGACAGACAGACAGACAGACAGACAGACAGACAGACAGACAGACAGACAGACAGACAGACAGACAGACAGACAGACAGACAGACAGACAGACAGACAGACAGACAGACAGACAGACAGACAGACAGACAGACAGACAGACAGACAGACAGACAGACAGACAGACAGACAGACAGACAGACAGACAGACAGACAGACAGACAGACAGACAGACAGACAGACAGACAGACAGACAGACAGACAGACAGACAGACAGACAGACAGACAGACAGACAGACAGACAGACAGACAGACAGACAGACAGACAGACAGACAGACAGACAGACAGACAGACAGACAGACAGACAGACAGACAGACAGACAGACAGACAGACAGACAGACAGACAGACAGACAGACAGACAGACAGACAGACAGACAGACAGACAGACAGACAGACAGACAGACAGACAGACAGACAGACAGACAGACAGACAGACAGACAGACAGACAGACAGACAGACAGACAGACAGACAGACAGACAGACAGACAGACAGACAGACAGACAGACAGACAGACAGACAGACAGACAGACAGACAGACAGACAGACAGACAGACAGACAGACAGACAGACAGACAGACAGACAGACAGACAGACAGACAGACAGACAGACAGACAGACAGACAGACAGACAGACAGACAGACAGACAGACAGACAGACAGACAGACAGACAGACAGACAGACAGACAGACAGACAGACAGACAGACAGACAGACAGACAGACAGACAGACAGACAGACAGACAGACAGACAGACAGACAGACAGACAGACAGACAGACAGACAGACAGACAGACAGACAGACAGACAGACAGACAGACAGACAGACAGACAGACAGACAGACAGACAGACAGACAGACAGACAGACAGACAGACAGACAGACAGACAGACAGACAGACAGACAGACAGACAGACAGACAGACAGACAGACAGACAGACAGACAGACAGACAGACAGACAGACAGACAGACAGACAGACAGACAGACAGACAGACAGACAGACAGACAGACAGACAGACAGACAGACAGACAGACAGACAGACAGACAGACAGACAGACAGACAGACAGACAGACAGACAGACAGACAGACAGACAGACAGACAGACAGACAGACAGACAGACAGACAGACAGACAGACAGACAGACAGACAGACAGACAGACAGACAGACAGACAGACAGACAGACAGACAGACAGACAGACAGACAGACAGACAGACAGACAGACAGACAGACAGACAGACAGACAGACAGACAGACAGACAGACAGACAGACAGACAGACAGACAGACAGACAGACAGACAGACAGACAGACAGACAGACAGACAGACAGACAGACAGACAGACAGACAGACAGACAGACAGACAGACAGACAGACAGACAGACAGACAGACAGACAGACAGACAGACAGACAGACAGACAGACAGACAGACAGACAGACAGACAGACAGACAGACAGACAGACAGACAGACAGACAGACAGACAGACAGACAGACAGACAGACAGACAGACAGACAGACAGACAGACAGACAGACAGACAGACAGACAGACAGACAGACAGACAGACAGACAGACTCGGCGAGCCGCATGTGGCCCGCGGACCAGTGAATAAGCACCATTGGATTAAACCGAGGGGGGCGACACATCTAAACCTCAATTTTAGATGCTCAAAAAATCTCACACAATCTACTTGCATCGCGCATCATCTTTTTGCAGGAAATCTTCAGAATCGTCATCAATCTTCTTCCTATCTACTCAGCGTGCGAACAGCTAGCCACAGCACAACACAATCTTTCCTGCAGCGTAGATAGAGTCACCCCCCTCGGGTTAAACAAATAAAAAATAATGATGGTTTACTGAAAAACTCTGTTGAAACTTCAATTGCAAGAAATACACATTTTAATACATGTGAGCTTTTAATTTGTGAATACTTATCAAAAATGTTCACTTCTCTGATATTGGACACAATGGACACTTAAAAGTTGACATTAATCGTAGAACATCAACTTTTAGTAAAAGTTTTAACATATTTTTCCCCCAAGGAAGTCGCGAAAATTTCCAACACGAATGATTTTCTAGCTTCATCTTGGCAATAATAGGTCTGTTCCCGTACTTGCTTTTCTGTACCCTCAAAAAATTCCACACGTCATCATTATGTATCTCACACTTAATTTTGCACTTATTGTGAAACACATCCATTTCGTGTGTAAATCTTGGATTAAAATTGTGAAACACTTGGATTCTATGTGCCTCATTTGGTGATATCAACAGCTTTGCACATCATAGTTCAATATTCTACAGTATGCTACTTTATCGACTTCTACTTTACCGACTCTAAAAATTAATCGACAAATATATGAACAAAAATGCCAGAGGCCAGAGCTTTCATTTATAATTTTAATGGGTCTGATTTAGGATTCGATAATGCACTGTTGGGGTGTGCTGCTGCCGGAGTCTTCGTTCGATCTCACTGTGCCACGGTTGTTCTCATATATGAGGCGGGTTGATAGGAAGTCACAAGTTAGTCTTGTTTTCGATGTTTACCTTTCTGAGTAAGCAATTCACATCGCATTGAAATGCAAAACACTTTAAATCCATCTGTTTTGAACAGTAGTGTGATTCAATGTGCAATACACTTGAATAGATAGTGAAAGATTTTCAACATTTCAAAATTTGAAACACTGTAAATTAACGTGTAAATGTGACTGTGCATTTAAAAAATCAATTGTTTAAACACTTCGATCAAACGTGTGGAATTTTTTGAGTGTATACAGAAAATAGCAAAAGCATGCTCCCGTACTTGCTGTACACTCAAAAAATATTATCACATATCGAATGGATGAAAACCATGTGAATTTCACATAGCTTTTATGTGATCACATAGCTAAAAATCCCACCACAAAATCACATGAATATTATGAGGTCAATGAAATTCATATGAAAAATCATATAAAACTAACGTGATCGCATAAATATTATGTGAAATTCAGATGAATTCCATTAATTTTTTTTATGGATGAAAAGCATTTGCGTTTCCAATGGAAGCTACATGAAAACTATTTTCAGTGTACCATATTACGTTCTTATGTACATCAACTTACAGAAAGCTGCAGCAACCTTCAGCAAAAAAGCAAGCTCGGTAATAGACCTAATGACTTTCTACTGACTACACATTTTGAATTGTAATTGTGATGTAAAGATTAATTTCTGTAAACTTGTATTTCATTTCACTCAAACCAGTAGATTGCTTACAAACATGGGCTTTTGTATAGAATATTTGCATGATTTCATGATATGTGACACTCCGAATATTTGCCTGTCAAGTGATAAATTACTACACCATTTTGTATGAATATAGTTTCGTCCAGCTAGCTGGCAGCTCTGCCTCCGCACCTCCCTTATTATGCTCCTGTGGCACCATGCAAGGGACAAAGAAACATATGCTCAATTTTTCCATTCATTCTCTATGCCCTTTCCCCTCCGTTTATCGTAACGCATCGTAGCACCTTGTATCCGTGATCAACATGCATGTTTATATTTTATTCCCTACCCTCCAGCTGAAAAGCAAAACATAAAAACTGAAACGCAAGCCGGAGGACGCCTGGCACACGCCGCCGGAGCTGCTGGGTCGTAAAAACATGCGGCAGGTTTGATTCTCTGCAGCCGGCAGTCGACCGATCATTTCAGGTAGTGCCGTTCGCGAGGCAACACGTGCATTTTTCCTTGTTTCTGATCGAGTATTTCCAAAAAAATAATTAAGAACAATTTGAACTGAGTTTGAGCTGAACAAGCGATCAAAGTGTTGACGGCGACCATGTAACGGTTTTAATCCATTCCAAAGTGCTGGTTACCAAATAAAAATCAAGTTCCAAGTATGCCAAAAACTGTCCCAAAGAGTACGAAGAACAATGATCTCGCAGAGTCTCGCCGCCTCGACCACCAACACCATCACCAAAGGCAACATCCGGGCGGTGGCGGGGGCGAGCGATCCAAAGTGAAACGTAGACATAGTGAGCTGGAACCAAACGAAGATTCTGGTGAGCCTTCCAAGCGACCGAATCGAACAGATCCGGATCAAATAGCGAACCAACTGCCGGAGCAACCGGTACCTGCCTCCCCGGGAGGGTCGGACTTTCTGCTACAAGCCTTGCGGCGCATTCAGGAACTACAGGATGAGATCGATTTCCTGGAGAATGATCCGTACGCGGAGGATGCCGACAGTTCCGAAAATGATGACGACGGATATCCGCCGATGGATGGAGCCGTCGTAGTGGGTCACCAAGCGGAAGCGTTGGGATTTGCCGTTTGTGCTCGGGAAACGATGGCTTTCCTGGAGCGTGAAGGCGTCCCGGTGGATAGTCCGATAATGGTGAGCCTGAGGAGCCGTCTCGTCGGAAGGTGCGAGCAGAATATGTCCTGTTGAAGGGAGCTGTGGGAGAAGTGATTCTAGTCATGAGGGAATTCAGGGTGTATTTTAAGAAGTACTTGCGGTGATGTTTCGTTGCTGTGAGGAATCTTCTAGTCACGTAGGTTTAAGGAGAATTAAAACGATTAGCTTTGTAAGGAACCAAAGTGTATGAATTGAAAGCCAAAAATAAAATCTAAGAATGGATTTGCGGTTAAACCAAGATTGATGTTGAGAAAGCCTGGACTTCCCATCCTTAAACTGTACATAGTGTTGCATATATATGTGCCACCTGCTCCTTTCTGTCTAATGCAGTGCTATAAACAGCAACGGATGTGCGCATAATGTATCATACGGGCAACAACAGCATCATCGTCGCTGTCAAGAAAATGTGGGATTGCCTGCAGTACCGTTGGGAGCACCACATTCTGTCTTTTCCAGGAAACACTACATTTAGGTACGAGACATTTTGTCAAGTCAAAAACGCTTCCGGTTCAATTTTGCAACACGTGAAATATTAATTCCAGTAATCCAATCTGTCACCTGCTCCGATGGCTGGGAGTCCTTATGCACATATCCTTTATGCACGTTGCCAAGCTGAAAAGCGCTTGGGGAAGATAGTGCTAACTTGTGTCTCTAAGCTGGCACCGTCACTGCCGTCTTCCCATATGGGTGTTACAAAACCAACTTTAGGTTGGCTTTTAGCTCTACTGCTGTAATGATACCAAAACGACCGGGTGAAGAAGCGTGTGCGGTTGGATGATGACAAAAGTGAACATGAGAAAGCACCTGCTCGCTAGCGGAAAAAGGATTCGTTAAGTATCCAGAACACACAATGATAATTGAGACTGAAGTGCAATATCTCTGATACAGTTGATGAAAGAGCATTAAGCTTGCGTTAAACTTATGTAGGGGCCCTCCGGGTGCACCAAAGTAGATTTTCTTAGTAATTAATTTAACTCTTTATTTGTGTCTTATGGTTAATATGGCCCAAGACAATTGTTGAAATCTGGATTATATTCATCGAAACGAATTTTTGCATGCTAAAGGCTTCTCTCAGCTTTATTTTTGAGGAACTAATATACTGCCGCTCTTCGCATGTCGGTCCCATAGTCGTTTTTGTCAAAACTGAGTTTTTCAATGCAAATGGTAGCCATACCCATATTTCCATAATACTGGATGAACTAATCAACTTTGTTCTGAAAAGGTTTGGAAAAACAGTTACATTGGTTGTCCCATCACATAAGATGCAATGGTACGAAGCAAACATAAAACGCGATTTTATCGGCTTGTCGATGTTTGCTATGGGACGGACATGTGAAGAGCGGCAGTATAGCCATTAGCAAAACGATATAGTGGTTCTCAGAATTTCGTAAAAAACTGTAGTTTTGTTCCGTATCGCAAAATATTAGATTTTGTTATAAGGGTGACCATTTCCATGTTAGAGTGGTCCAAAAAATCGACATTAAAAATACTTTTTTTTTAATTAATAACTTTTGAGCCATTTCAAAGATCAAAATTATAAGCGACAGCCCAATAGGGTTGTACGAACAGTTGGCGTAGGACTACGCTCACAAATGTTAACTATTTTGAACGAACGTTATTTAAAATTCCCGATATTATTATGACATCCGTGAATTTCTTCCGAAGTGTAGTAATTGGGCAGTGTCCATTTTCCGTTTAATAGTAATAAGATTCTTTTTTCAGTTCATGTGTAATTATTCTTGTGTTAGAAAATATTCCAAACTAACTTTTTCTTTGAAAATTGTGGGGGCCCTGAAAAGGGCCGTTTTGATGGTTTGTGGCTCTGAAAAGAGTCGTTTTGATGTTGCATGGCCCTCAAAAGGACTTTTGACTTTAAATGATCTTTATTTCTTGTGTTTGTGTGATTTACATGTATGAATTTTCAAGTGACACAGATGCGTCTTTTCAGCTTTAGTTCCTTTTTAATTTAAATTATTATTCATTACAGTTCCTAGTCCTATCAGGCCTGTTTTAAGAATGACCACCTTGGTGGGATTGGTTTGTTTAAAATTTGAAAAAAGGAGACTATTTACAACTACAACTAACCTACAACTACTATATACACCTAATCTACTATATACAAATTGCTTATCAAAGCATGTTCTGATAAATTACATTTTTCTGCAAATTTAGTTTTAATTTCGTTAATTCTGGAATCTATTTTCGCAATGCCTGCCTCTTCGTGTAAATTTGTTATTCTAGTGTCGAAAGGACGATCAAGAACCATCCTCAGCACTCTATTCTGTGCGACCTGAATTTTGTTCCTGTGAGTCTGTGCACATGATTCCCACATCGGAGCTGCGTAGAGGACCGCAGGTGCTATGATTTGTTTGTAGACGGCCAGTTTGTTTACCCTTGAGAGGCGAGATCTGCGGCAAATCAGCGGAAACAGACACCTAACCAAGGTAGAACACTTGACTACTGTTTTCTCTACATGCGAACGGAAGAGGAGCTTTTCATCGAACAACATCCCGAGATAGGTTACTTCGGCGGACCACTCAACCCTTGTGCCATCCATGATTACAGTACAAGATGGAGCCGGTTTCAGTTTGGGCGATTGCCGATGTAGGAACATGATCGCTTGTGTTTTGGAGGCATTGATTTTGATTTTCCACGTGGTGGCATAATCAGCAAAGGCGTTAAGGCATCGTTGAAGTTTGTTCGTTATTTCGCGAGGCATCCTTTCTTTGACGGCTATTGCGGTATCATCTGCGAACAGGAAGAACACGCAACCGTCTCCGAGGGGAGGAATGTCGGAAGTGTAAATGCTGTAAAGCAAGGGGCCCAGCAAACTGCCTTGCGGGACACCTGCTGGGATGGAAAACGTGTCTGAAAGACAACCATTCAACGATACCTTAAACGACCTTTGCTGGAGGTAGTTACGGGTGATTTTAATAAGATGTAAAGGAAAGTTGAAGTTACAAAGCTTGTACACAAGTCCATCATGCCAAACATTGTCAAACGCCTTTTCAACGTCTAACAAGGCCATGGCTGTGGACTTGGATACAGCTTTGTTACTTCGGATGTTATTCATCACCCGTACTAGCTGGTGATTGGTGGAGTGCCCCTCTCTGAACCCAAACTGTTCCGGAAGAAGAATGTTATTTTCCTCGACAAACTTGAGCAAATGATTGAGAATGATTTCTCGAACAATTTGCTCAGCGCTGAAAGGAGGCTGATTGGTCTGTAGCTTGAAGACAATGTTGGATCCTTTCCAGGTTTGCGGATTGGTATGATTTTTGCTACTTTCCAGATGCTTGGAAAGTAGTGCAGTTCCAAACATCTGTTGAAGATAGCGGTTACAAGAGACTGCACTTTCATGCTGAGTCTCTTCAAGATCAAGTTGAATATACCGTCAAACCCGGGGGCCTTCATGTTCTTGGTGCATTTCAGCGCTGAGCAAATTTGTTGTACTGTAATCATATCCGCCGGAGGCACGACACAACGGGAGGCATCTAGGTTTTGAACGCTTTGCGCAACCTGATCATCGAGCGGACTTTGGATAGTCGAGCCAAACAAATGCGATGAAGCGACATGCTTGCCGATCGCATTTGCTTTCTCCTGTGGGGTGATTAAAAGCCGATCGTCATCATTATCGACTCTGAGAGGTGGAACGGGTTTGGGATGAGTTTTCAGGACCTTGGATACCTTCCAGAATGGTCTGGAGCGGTCGTCCAGATTCTGGACAACACGCCCGAAACTTTCATTTCGGAGTGAGTCCATTCTGGAAGCAATCTGCCTGTTCAGATCGGCCATTTCACGTTTTTTGCCCAGATCTCCAGTCCTCTGAAACTGGCGTCTACGAACATTTCTCAGGCGAATCAAAAGTTGGGTGTGGGAATCAATGGCAATAAACTTACCCCTCACAGGCACTCGTCGGACGCACGCCTCGTCAGCCACGGTTATGGCTTGGTGGAGTCCCTCCAACACTCGGTCGATGTCCGCCACGGTGTCGAGCAGTGGATTTTCATCGATGTTGCTGTCCACCATTCGTCCGTACTGCACCCAGTTGACATGGTGGTAGTCTTTACGCAGGCAGCTTCTAGCAGGAACCACGTTGACACCGACTTCAGTCACCACCGGTTGGTGGTCGGAGCTGAGATCGTTGTGCGCCTCCGGCTTGGATAGTACGATGTTTGACAGGAAAAAGTCCAGGGTGGACGGATTTCCCGCCGGAGAGATAAAAGTTGGTTCGTCCGGAAACTGCACAGTGTACAGTCTATGTTGTGCGTGGTCTAACAATAGACATCCATTCCGGTTACGCTGGTAGTTCCGCCAAGCTTCATTGTCTCCAGAATCCAGGGGAGATGGAGAGCTTTGGCCAGCAGAATCACCGGAAGCTACTTGAGGTGGGGGGGTGGTTTGCACCCGTGAATTCGCTTGCCTTTGCTGGGGAGCACGAAGAGGCGGAAAATCCTCCGTCCTGAATGCTGGGGTTTTGTCCTTCTTGCGTCCTGGTTGATTGTTGCTTGACGCCTGCTTTCGGATGCGTTTGAAGTCCTCGCGTTTGGAGCACTGTCTGTCGAAACCTTGATGTGCACCACCACAGTTAGCGCATTTTATCGCCACGGCTCCATCCGCAGGGCAGTTGGAAGTGGCGTGTTCGTGAGCGCAGTTGCTGCAGCGTGGCTTGATGTTGCAGTTGCGGGTACCGTGGCCGCCACGGTATGACTCCCACCATACGATGATGGAGTAGATCGATCGGATGGCTTGCTGCGCATTGAGCGTCACCGTCCCTTTCTGGAAGTGTACCAGGAAAAGACAATCCGGGTAAGTCTTCACGTTTTCGCTTCTCCTTGTCATTCGGAAGACAGCGATTGGGGCTAGCTTGTACCGGTTGATTTCGGCTTCGACCATCTTGGGGTCGAAGTTTGGTAGACCCCTGATGACTACCTTGAAGGACTTCTCACCGGGGATGTCGTGCGTGAAGAATTCCGCCTTGGTATCCTTCAGATATTTCACGGCCACTTCGTACTCCGCTTTCGTTCGGAGCATCACCTTGGTGCCGATCCTGCCGAGCTTAAACTCAGCTGCAACGCCCAGCGATGAGAGATCGCCAATCAGCGTGTTGAGTGGGACTTGCTTCACCACCAGTGGAGGAAGCTTCATTTTTGCTGCACTCTGGCTTGGGAAATCACCAATGACGCTGACATTCGTCGCGGTGGCATCGTCCCGTCCA